AATATCTCTTGTTTCAGGAGGTAAATAACATTTATTAAACCTACTACTGCACTTGACTGATCTTAAAGGATCATGAAACATATATTAACTTTTTATATTCGTAGCTTTTCCTTCTTTCATTCTTGCTGAAGAAAAAAGAGATGGTAAATAATTAAATTATTACGTTTATTAAACCTACTATTGCACTTGACTAATCTTAAAAGAAAAATCATTGAAACATGTATTAACCTTTTATATTCATAGTTCAACCTAAAATACCAATTACGACTAAAAAAGATCTTCCGTATATAAAATTCAAAAAAGATTACCCTTGTGCAATGTTCGAATTAAGAACTTGGATCCTGGCATTCAAGCAAGCATTAGATAAAACAACTTTGAATGAGGTCGAAAGTTGCATTAATGATGTTATTAAAGATACTAATGATATGGAAGATATTACAATTAAATATATATTATCTAAAGAAACATTGCACCACGAAAAAAGCAAAATTACACCACAGGGCTGAACATTGATATGTTTAAACAAATTCTATATTTATATTTATATTTTTTAAAATTCATAAATGAAACCCAATTTTATGAAAAAAATATTTAATAATTTAATTTAACCTTTAAAATAAAGGCATTGTTAAATTACACCAGTAGTGTTTAATACAACAGTTGCTATTTCTCAAAAACTATCTAATAATCAGTAACCAAAAAAAACTTTTTTTACTTTTAGCTTTAATTTTTAGTTTATAACTTTTAATTTTGTCTTAATTTTTAACCCTAATCTTAAATATTGACAATGAATTATAATAAAAAAATTCTATGGCGTTCAACACCATTGGTTCGATTTATAATAAGGCCGTTTAAAGTTGAATAGTTATTTAACGTCATCTTCCTTCTCGGTTAGGTACCCAGAAATTAAACAAGTCAACCACAACACATGATAATATTCAGAAATCGACCAATGAGATTTAATCAAATATGCTATATTGTATATATGTTGGTTTAAATCCCTCCTCAAGCCTGAGCTCCAAATATCGATGTTAAACAATTAAGAGGTAGTTCGCCATTAAAGGGTATAAGAATCATATAAGCATCATAGTAAAAATCGGCGGGCATTACTTATAAATTTTAATAGTAGCTGGAATCCCAAAAGTTTTTCA